GGTTGTGTATGAACGCACTCACAGATCCGGGCAAATCACTGGCAGTGTGAATGAACCGAAATCAAACAATCCCGGGACAAATGCCGGGTCACATTATCCGTGTATTTTCCGGAATCTCCGTGTGAAAGGGGCTATATTTTACATATGGCTTTAAATGTCTAAAAAGCTCAAGCAGGCACACATAGTGTTAAACAAGTTAAATAAGAAAACTACTGAAGTGAATGGTGTGTTCACACTTGGCATGCTTGGTTGGATTAAAAAAAAACCTGGTGGGATTGCTCTGTTAATGCAGGCTCTGTTAATGTTAATGCAGGCTAGGTTCATTTGAATAAGAGTGAACGCTGCCATCTGAACCCTGGGGTCACCAAACCATAGGGGTGGGAGAAAAAAAAAAATGCATCGCGATTCTCTCTCCAACGATTCTGGATCGATTCTGAGAATTTCAGAATCGATTCTGAGTATTTCAGAATCGTTTCTGAGTATTTCAGAATCGATTCTGAGTATTTCAGAATCGATTCTGAGTTTAGTTTTTAACCAGATGTGCGATGACGCTGAGTTTGCTTTAGAAACACCCATATTCTGCTAGCTTCCAATTCCTCACATAGGCCTACATACACCACTCGAACCTTCCGTAAAATAATCTTAACAAAGATGGTCTTAGTCCGCTTCCCAACAAACTCTGGTGCAGTTTGACTGAAATATGAACAACACGGACCAAACAGGAAGAGGAGACCCAAAAAAGGACAGAATACTCACGCATAATTTTTTTCTCGGTTTGTCCATCACAGTTCAGTAGAGGCATCTGAACCGATTCTCGCAACAGATCTTCATTTATGTGTGCGACTGAGGGATTCCTGTCTCTGTTTTGAGTCCTTTACACATTTTATAAGCTTCGCGAATTGACGAGTTCTCAGAGGGTCAAAATACCATCATATGTAGCTAAGCACATACAACAAGCTAATTTAGTGCAGCGCACAGCATTGTTTTGGATGGTTGGTAAATTCTGTCACGAAACATACTTAATAAAAGCCGAACCAATTGTGAACATATCTCTGAGCCTTTAGGTTCAGTGTTAAAATGGAAACGTGAACACAAAGTGGACCAGGACTAACTGTTTTTTTTTTTTGTTGTTTTTGTCCGAACCAAGCAAACTAAACTTCAAATGTGTACAGTACACACACCCTAAATGAACTTCAGTGTTAGTTCAATGAATTTTACCAGTTTAAGTGTCTTTGTTTGAATGTGTAAGAGCATGAACAAACATTTGGGATTGCACTAGGCTTGGGCGGTATTACGGTAATATCGTATACCGCGCTTAAATATAAGCTAGGTTTGAAAAAAAAAACGTATTCCTTTCATATTTTTTTAATAATATGATGTTTTTCTATGTATGTTGATTTTATGAAAAGGGAACTTCATGAGATGACTAAGAAGATCATAAAATGCGCAATATCGGAAAACATTTGGAATGGGTCAGTCAGACATGATTATGACCACTTATTACGTTTTGTTTTGTAGAAATCCTTTCTTTAAAACGAATTTCGTTTTGAATAAATTGCATCTTCATTTTATTTTTTTTTTCATCAACGAATTGCCTGGATTAATTAATAATAAGCAAATATAGTGATCAGGACACGCGCCGGCGCGTGACTGGAGCGCGACTCATACATGAACTGAACCTCGCATATAAGAAACAAGATCTGGGAAGTGTGTGTATATATAGTAAGCTTGAAATGTCTTCTTTAACAATCTAAAAGAAATTGGCTGCTCTCTGCTTATGTTTAGGCTAATTCATATGTAGTGTGCATTACTCTTTATTCACGTTCACTACCGCGAAGATGCGAGTTTGCATGCAATCTTTATCTATGCAGCAATTGACATAGAAAACACGTTGGGTCAGTCAGACATGATTATGACCACTTATTACGTTTTGTTTTGTACAAAGCCTTTCTTTAAAACGAATTTCGTTTTGAATAAATTGCATCTTCATTTATTTTATTTTTTTCATCAACGAATTGCCTGGATTAGGCTAATAAATAAAAAGCAAAGATAGTAATCAGGACACGCGCCGACGCGTGACTGGAGCGCGATTCATACATGAACTGAAACTCGGCATATAAGATACATGTCTTAATGATCTGAGAAGTGTATATATATATATAAGCTTGAAATGTCTATACTTTTAAACAAAACAATTACAAGCTAAAAGAAATGGGCTGCTCTCTGCTATAGGCTTATTCATATGAAGTGTGCATTAGGCTACTCTTTATTCGTGTTTTCATACCATGAAGATGCCAGTTTGCATCGTCAATGCAATCTTTATCTTTGCAGCAACTGACATAGAAAACACTAGTTTATTAATAAATAATTTTATCTCGGCTCCACTCGGCTCGCGTCGAGAGCTCGTGATCTTCAGAAATGCGCTCCCCTCTCTAGAGGAAATATCACTACTCTGCTCACATTCTCTGGTCTGAGACAATGTGTATCTCCTGTTTTCTAATAGTTGATTGACAGCTTTTAGATGCATTATTGGAACCGACACTCTCCGGTTGAACGTGTCATCATGTGTGATGCCGTCTCGTAATTTTTAATTAGTCACGCGGTAATACCGTATACCGCGGTAAAATAGGGAGGAGGTTTGACGGTATGAAAATTTGGATACCGCCCATGCCTAGATTGCACAAATGTCAAAACAGAGAACCCAATGGTGTTTACCCAAAAAGTGAACCCCACCACAGACAAGAGATGTTCTACATGTAAAAAATGAGGACATGGACGATCGTTGATGAACAGCCAATCGGACAAGACAAAATTTGAGAAAAAAGAAGAAAAAAAAAAACACTTGGAAAAATATACCCTGACTGGAGCCAATATCCCAACCATAGACTGTAAAAAATTATGGAAGTAGTGTCCATGATGACTGTAAATGGGCAAACGGGATTGGCTGAGGTGACATGACGGCTAACAGACAGCAGACAAACAGCTAGAAGTGACATCAGCAGCAATCCACCTGTCATTCAAGTGGCCACGCCCTTAATTATGCACAACTTTAAGGCTTAATATTATTATATGAGTTAGTTGAGTTACAGAAAGAAAAAAAACCCACCTTATTCACAGTTAAGGGCAAAACTTGCTATAAAGAGCAAAGCCGCTTTTTGTACCAGGCTGTAAAAACACAATTTTGCTGTAAAGTTGGGTTTATTACAGTTTTTTTTATTCGCTTTGGTACTATTTTCACAAGTAAGGTGTACATTTTCAAAACTCTTAGTGCTAATATCACAACAGATCATCAAAAGTGCACTTTTTTCAAACATTTCATCATGTTTTCAACTGTGTTAGTACAATTCACACAATCACAAAGTATCCTTTTCACAACACAAAATAAGTGTTTCATCTACATTATTGTTTCATTCACAGTAACTGCCTTTCATAAAGCTCTTACTATCAAACTTTTGATTTGCATCTCTTTTTGTTCAGTTTAATACTTTTGTCTATTATTTAATCCAACAGATCTTAATGGTTAATCAATTAATCATTTGGTAAACCTATAGATTTTTATTTCAGCAATATACAGTATATGGATTTTGAGAACTACAGAAATAAAATGTGTGTTTGTATGAATATTTAAATTACATGTAACCAGTAACCACACATGATGAATACTCGTTATAGCTAATTTAATTTTTTTATTTTTTCACAATTTTTTTCACAGTCTGACCACAATTGGCCACTATGTACTGTAATGTGTGCACTAAATGTTATGTTTTGTTCTTCTTTAGTTACATTTCATTATAGAAAGTATACCTATATTACAATTATATCTGAAAAATAAAAACTATAATTTGCCTAAATGATTGTAGAGGATGTCTTCATTGATCCTTCATTTGATTAGGCCTACATATATGATGGATATTTGGAAATTATAGATTATGTAAATGTTGGGTACTGTAAGTGTATTGCCTAATGTTACAGTAAAACTGTGTAATCTGTCTTTTATAGTACTGCATATTCATTTCAGCACTTCTAAGGCCGATTTGAAACTTGTATCTTGCATTGTTTGCTGTTGGATGAACTGATTGTTAAAAGTACTAAACTGAAAGAAGATCATATTGTTGTGTTTCAGTGATTAAACCAAATGTTCTCATTACATATTACAATAATCTTGTGTTTGAAATAATTATTATGTGGACTGAAAACATGTGCAACTGACTGAAAGCATTACATCAGGTTTTGAAAGAATGACTAGCTGCGTTACAAGTGTGATCAGTTTGGATTTTTGTACTAAGAGTTTTGAAAATGTACACCTTACTTGTGAAAATAGTACCAAAGCGAATAAAAAAAAACTGTAACACAGGGAGTATATGGGATTGACACTCTTTTGGAGCCCGTCTCTAGCGGCCAGTTGATGAATTTAAGCCACTTCCATGTTGCGCTTGATCCCAACTAGTCCACTTAAACAGGACCAATTCAATAGATAGCAACTACGATAATTAAGCACCAATGCAATGTTAACAACAACACTAACAACTGCAATCATCTATAGCAAGTTTCAGACGGTTTCAAAATGACCACAGCAAAAATATATTTGTTTTCTATTAACAACCTATATTTAAACCAATTAAGATATACAGTATTTCTCTATTGCGCATCTATCATGCAACTGTCACATATGCTGTCCATATACTTCAAGTTGAAAATAACCCAGAATTTCCTTTCATTTTAAAGTCTTGAGTTTTGACAATTGATAGGGAAAATGACAAAACCAAACAATTTAGCACAGTACAAGCAGAAAACCTTCCGACATGACACTTAAATCAAAGTAACACACAGCACTCTTCCATTTGAGGAGGAAATTATAGGTTGAAACTGAAACTTCAAGTATACGAAGCTGGTCGAAACCGAAACAATTATTTTTTTATATTCCTGTTGGCTTGTTAAATCATTTAAACCCAACCCCGCTGAACAAATAAACAAATGAAAAACAGCAATGCGTGACTTACCTTGTTCATGTTTCCCGCTTGCTGGGCATTCATGGCATTGTGTGCCCCCATCTGTGGTGAACCCTGGGTAAGCGTCTCCGCCAATACGCTGCCAGAAACGCTGACCCCCGGCCCGGCACCTGCTCCCACCGGTGTTCCTTGCATACCCTGACCCTGGTACTGCATACCCGGAGCTGCCCTGCCTCTTCCAGCCTGCCCCATAACACCATTCATCATCTGCCCCTGCTGAGCCATGTTCTGCCCCATGAGTCCATGAGCCTGGTTGTTATTGTTCATCATGGCCTGGTTGAAACCAGCATTGAGGCCCATACCCGGACTATTGTTGCCCTGACCGGTAGGGGTGCCTTGCTTTGAAGGTTGGGTTTGGTGACCGGGTGAGCCCTGGCCCATGGGACTCTTCCCCAAGGCACCCAGTTGTCCACCCATTCCAGACTGAGGGCTGAGGTTTCCACCCAGACCAGAGCCGCTCCCTGCCTGCAGGAGCTGAGACAGTTGCCTGTGCTTGGCAGCAGCATCCGGGATAGTGCCCCCCATCCGGCCTCCATCTCCATTCGAGGGCATGGGCATCAGCCCCAGGTCTCCGTTGGGTATCAGCTCATCTGGAAGATCGTTTTCCAAGTCGAACAAGGACACAAAGTCTAGGAAAAGAGGGAAAAGAGGGTATTAGCAGAGGTTATCATCTCATTAACAACCAACTAGGGATGGGCATTTTCATTTCTCATTTCAATAATTAACATGTCTCAAATAATTAGTATTCGAGGGGGGGCAGGGCATGTGCAGAGGGCGTGGCGTGTCCGTCATGAAAATTAATGTTGACAAATAAAAATGACATGAAAACATGAACGTATGAAAAGCCAAAAAAAAAAAAACTGCTAGATGATGCATCAATGTTATCGAAAAAGAAACATCTAAAAGGAATAACTGCTTGAGGTAAAGCTAAAGAGTAGATGATCTCCAGTAAACTGAGGCCCATTCTATGACACATCCAGATCAATAATCAGATATCTTAGATACAAAACATAAACTTAATATTACAAGGACGCGAATGCACATGAACCAATTTTTTTACAGTACAACGTTTGAAAGGGAAACACTAGTTGCGCTCGTCTTAACAGCGCGCTGATACACAGGCAACTGAAGCACAGAGCATTTACAACATTCAATCCCAGTCCTGTCATCATTATAGTGCTGAAAATGGCATGTATATTGGCGCTGCACATCTTGCACTTAATTTAATTTTTCATGATAGAAAGTGATTACAGTTATCACTGTGTTTTCAACGAGATAACAACTTTAAATAAAACAGTTTTACTGTTCAAAAACTTTGAACAAAATAACACTGGCGTGTTATTAATATCAATGATTTTTGCCCATCAAACCTATCTAAAAAGGAATAAGAAATAACCCAATAATTTAATAATGTCGGACATTCCACTTGAGCAAAAACTGATGAGTGATAGCACTCATGAACATTCGGTAAATTGCCACGTTTTTGTAGCTGATTAATCCATAGGCGTCAAATCCATTGGCGTCGCGTTTTGGCCGTTTTGAGCGTCAATCAGAGAGTTGAAAGTAGTTCAACTTTATGGTAATGAGCTATGACACGGTTCATCGGAAAACAAGCGTCCTTAAAGGGGTGGTTGGCTGCGATTTCACTTTTTTCATTTTAAATAGTGTGTAATGTTGCTGTTGGTGCATGAACAGTATCTGCAAAGTTGCAGCGCTGAAAGTTCAGTGTAAGCAGAGATATAGTCTTTTAAAAATCAGGAAGTATATTGCCTACAAAAACGACTCGATTGGGACTAAAGCTGGGTTTTAGACATCACTAACCCACACATTTGCATCAAACACTCCCTCCGGAATAAGCAGAAAAGGGCATGCGCATATTTCGTCGAGTACGCTGTACTTCGTCAACAATGGATACAATTTATGTTTGATTATGTTCCTGAAAATGACAATCGTATTTTAGCTCTCTGTGCTGCGCATTTTATGGAAGCCAGCTTCCAGAATCTCCACGAATTCAATGCCGGATTCAACAAGAAACTGTTACTAAAACATGAAGCAGTTCCAGCTTTAAAACAAGAGGCAGCAGTTGTTGGGCCACAACCTATAAGTAGGCTAAAGGCCAATTTATACTTCTGCGTCGAGGGTACGCCGTAGTGTACGGCGTTGGCTACGCACGTAGGCGACGCCGTTGTGAGCATTTATACTTCTGCGTTCAGGTCTTGGTTGCTCTGCAGTACTGCTCCGAAACGCTAGTTGGCGGCGGAGAGTTTTAATGTTCCACTGTGTTTAGATTCCTCGCGGCTAGGTTACTACGAGTGAACGAGAGCTGATCATGTTGGAATTGGAGCTTATTAAGGTGGAAAAACAGTTCACTTTAGTGAAATTACTAAAACTGAAAGGCAGAAATGAGAGAAGACTTCGGAGGAGATGAAACTTGTGGAAATCATAGACAGTGGTGGAAATGCGTGAGAAGGTACGTGCGGAAATGCGTAGGAGGAAATGCGATGCTACCAAGCCGACCAATCACCGATCTTGCCGTCCGCGTCGTCGCGACGTGTAGTTACATTTTTGAGGAGGTGCGCGTCAGGCGACGGCGAAGGGTACGCGGTATGGGACGCGTCTGTGCGTATGCTACGCCGTACCTACTGCGCGCACCCTACGCAGAAGTATAAATTGGCCTTAAGACTTCATCATTCTAAATGTATTTGCATGTATAATTCCAGACATAGCCTTGTGTTTTAGTTTGATAAAATGCCAGCGCTGGCTTTATAGCAACTCGGCTACTAGTTATGCTATTTTGTGTCTATGACAAACGTGTACAAACATTATGGACCTGAATTTTGTATAAGTACTAATGTTTTAAATATATTTTTCATGTATGGTTTATGACGTTATTTTCGATTTGATCAAGAACGTAAACTACAGTTCTTAAACAGTTGCTATTGTTGCCAGTCAGATCCTATTGTGTTAAACAAACGTGTATAAAGTTAAAAAAATGTAGCAAATTATCATTTAGAAACGTTTACTAAGAGCCGTGTGTGGTGAGGTTCTGTTTGACTCTCTTCGTCGCGGCTTTCTCGGTCAGATTCTGCAGTTCGACACCATTATTTACATCTGGACCGGAGCACAGGCACGTTTCGCCCGTAAAGGTAATGGCGTTAACCTTCCGGACAACGTAAGCGACAGTTTAGCCAATCACAACACACCGGCCCAAACTAACCAATCTGAGCCCACTGCCTGTTTCTGAGGGAGTGATTTCAAAGACTCAGCAAGTAAACCGGTCGTTCGAGGACAGAGGAGAGCGCGGCTTACAATAAAGCTGAAGTTTATGAAAAATAAGACTTTTTAAAAAAGAAAAACCACGAATACATATTGCACCCCATAAACACAATGATGCAAAGAAAAAAAGCAGTAACCCCCCCCCTTTAATAGGACGGCCAGAGCTTCTTTGCCACTCAAGTCGGCGGCGGTGTGCATGTACAGAAACAAATCAGAAAAAGAGAGCTCATTGTTCATCGATCATTGTTTTCCCGATCGATCGTCGCTGTCACATAAGAGTACTCCAGCCCATCCCTACAACCAACATGCAACTCATAGGTGATAGAGATATTGAGCCTCAACTGCTCTCATTATAAATGGCAATAGATAGGTATTTGTAACTTTTCACTGACTGTTTTGACTCCTAACCATGAAAACAAAGTTTTGACTAATAAAGGTCACAGTTTTTACACTCAACGTCATGCTTTGAAAACCGTGTGAGGAAGTTAACGCTGTTGTAATGTCTCCTTATTCTCAGCAGGGAGTGCTCAGAATCATGGCTAAAAATAAGAATCGCTCTAGCCGCTCATCTGTTACCCCTTGTACCCCCCTAGTCTTAAACAGCTGCTTGTCAGTCTGGTCTACCTCCTCACCGCCGAGACCAGCACAGCCAGACGTGTGCTTATGTTTCAGAGTCAAAAAAAAAGAAAACGAAAAAAGAAGGGTTATAATTTTGGGCCTGTTTGATTGCAACGTATTGTAAAATAAACTGAATGAAATGCACTGATAAACTATGCCTATATAATTTCAATGCACTGTAAGCTACTTTGTCAAATGCACAATGTCAATAAAACTTTGATTGAAAAAATAAAATTAAAAAATTAAAAAACATAAAAAAAATTGACAATCATCACAAGTTCAGCTCAAGACAAATTTCAACAAGACATTCACACACTAAACATTTGAACGAAAAACAGGAGAGAACACAAAGCATGAGTATTGAGGTGTGTACTTTGTCTTTTTTTACTCATGGCATGTGACATGGGTACAAGACCAACCCTTTAAAACTTGGCGCAGATCATGAAGTTCTTCAATATGGTAAATGACAATCCACGGAGAATCTACTTTTTTTCCCCACCCAAAAATACAATAGGCTAAGTCCTCAAATGTTCTGTCAGAATACAAAACCTGGTATGATACATCTGAAAAATCATGCCTTATAAAGCACGTCACACTAAAAAAAAAAGTGTAATAACTTTATATTTAATCTAGATTGATCACACTAATCATAAATAGTTTATTAATATTGAATAAGATAACAGGTGTGTACATGTGGTTTGAAGGCAATCTTTAAAAAAATTCTGCTTATAAAACTTTTGTCATCGCTACACCTCTATAAACCTGCAACAAGTCACCAAAAACCCAACCAAAAGATTATCAGCCCTCAACGAGTAAAGACAAAACTGCTAAAAACAATATCAATGTGGATGAAACAACAAAATTGGCATAATAATTTGAACTTTTTGACTGGCATAATAATAATTTAATTACTAAAGTCCACAGGGCACATGATATTTATAAATATGATATTGATATTTGAAAATGCAATGCTGGTATTTTTTGCTGCAGAACAACAATATCCTGGCAACTATGTCGCTATCTAGATATTTAGTGAATAAAAGGGTTGGGTTGGTTCGGCCAAAAATAAAAAAAATCTGCCAAAAAACAGACACCTTCATATCGCTCCAAACCCACAAGACTCATTCATCTTCAAAACACAATGAGGTTAAGTTTTGGATTCATGGACTACAGACTACAGGATGAATACTTTCATTAAACGGGAAAAAGTTGCCAGGATAATCTTCAAAAATGTTTAAATAAACCAACATCATATAAAGCAATAGAAATCATACCAGTCAAAATGTCTACAACAGGCCCTCATCTCTAAGTTGGCATAAAAGCACTGCGTCGTTGAATCCAGGCAGTGGCTCAGATGGGCCGATCTCCCCACTGCGTCCTTCCCCAAATCAGTCATGCTTCAGCCGAGACATTAAACCATGCAGCGAGCCGTCTGCCTGAAGCTGGTGGAGGGCAGCGTTTACACGCTTGGCTGTGTTTGTATGTACACTAATGCAAACACGGCTGGAATAAAAGCGCACCCACGGCTGCCACACGCTCACAATAACGAGGGGGAACACCCAGCTGGCAAACAACACACCCACTGGAACCATCTCAGGCAACAGCAAATACAGAAAAAAAGTGAAACACAAAAAAACCCACAGAGTCTTAACACAAAACCACAAATTAGCATGCATGCTAGCGGACACATGCTCACACCAGCAGTCCACCGTAAATGTGGCAACGACCCACAACT